CCCCAAAACCCCAAAACCCCAAAACCCCAAAACCCCAAAACCCCGGAATATCTGAAAACACTTGAACAAACCATTTCATTTAATTTTTGTTATCAATTAGTTATTTCCTGGTTTCTCAAGTTTCCTTAAGAAATCGTTACTTCGAACTTGCAACTTAGTTGGATCTCTGAAGTCTTCTGGCTGCTGGTGCGGCGGCTGGTGCTGCAGCTCCTCCCATAAATCCGCTAAAGGCTTGGAGTCCTTGTTGGGCAATGTCGTTGAAAGTTTGGATTCCAGCGTTAGCTGCGGCAGCTGCGTCATTAGAAAGATCAGTGGCATCTTGAGTGAGAGTTGCTGGGTCAACCTGTTGGAGTCTGTCTGGGTTAGCAACGGTAGCTCCATTAGCTCCGAAAGCTTGCTCGGAGGTTGAAATAACGTTGTTAGCAATCATTTCACTCTGGTCGAGAGCATCATCAAAAGCTTGATTAGTATCATGAAGAGCACCGAGAGCGGCTTGGCTCAAAGCGTTAATGTCATTAGCGAGGTTTCCTTGTTGGAGTCTTGCACCACCGTTGGTACCGGCTAGTCCTCCTAGGAAGTTGGTAGCTGTGTTGACCCACTGGGACCCGAGATCGGCAGCTACGTTGGCAGCATCAGTGGCAACGGTAGTAGCATCGGTGGCGAGAGTGCTAGCATCAGCAGTGGCAACGTTGGCAGCATCAGCAGCAGACTGCTGAAGTCTGGCTCCAGCAGCGGGAGCTCCACCAGTGGGGACTCCACCAGTCATCATACCAGCGAGGGCTCCTGCATTGTTCATAGCTTGTCCAGCAAAGTTCTCCATAGTAGCTTGAGCGCCGTGGACAGCATCGTTGAAGAATTCTTCACTATCAGTGATGGCTTGGTTAGTAGCTGCAACACCAGCTCCAATATCAGCAGCGACATTTCCTTGTCTAAACCAGATTAGATATTTGGCATTAATAATAAATCAATATCCAGGCATAGATGCCCAGTGAAGGTCTTATGATGCTTCAGCTGCACTGAGAGTATTGTACCAACAATGAGAGGTTTGCTTACCTAATTCTGAAGGCGCTTGACATAGCAAGAGCCAAACACAATACAATTCCGAAAGTAATTTTCATTTGGATTTTTAATTAATTATTAATTCTGAAACTATTTAAGCATTTCTCCTCAGCTATGACCAACCCACCAGTTTCTGGAACTTGATCTAGGATGATACAAAGAAATCCAAATATCCCATGATGTTACACCAAAATTTTTGAACATCTGCTCGGTTGAATTTTCTGCATAAGAGTGCTCTCAGTCTCAAAATAGAGCCTTTTGTAAATATCTTACTGGGGTTCATTTTCTTTGTATATCCATCTAAATTTCGACCTCTCCAATGCACCTAGATATTGAGTATTCTCTAGTCCATTTCCAAAGACCCAGACTTGGACATATTTTACCATATCTCCATTCTCGAAAATAATAGGGCACTGCTTTCTTCTCTGGCTGTCATATGCTTGAAATAATTGCTTTTCATGCCATCACGCCAAAATTCTAAGGACATTTCCTCTCAGAAACCCCTGTAAAAGCTATAGTTATTCTCAGATACTTTGGCCTCATCTAGTTTAGCTGTCTACCTCCCTATATTGATCGATGCCAATTGCTCTGCTTGAGCTTTGCTTAGATTTCTCAACTTGTGAGCAGGAAGCTTGGCTCGCATTTATTGAATCGTTCAATTCGATAAAATTAAAAAGGGGTTTTGGGGTTTTGGGGTTTTGGGG